TGAACTAGTACCAGACTGTCCAGTTCGGCTGCGTTCTTTAAATCGGGGATTACACTCAATGATTTTTTTTGCCCTTTTCGGGCCGATTCTTCAGTCATGCGAGAATTTTTTTCCAATCAAGCCGACTTTCAGCCTGATCGTGCGTTGTGTAGTATACAGGGGTTAAGAAGGGGCAATCAGCCTCTCGTTACCACCTCCAGTTCGGGAATCGTAAGGTCGGGTGAAATCAAACGTGTAGAAATTCAGTCGGCCGTCATTAGGTGATCTGCTTCAACAGCAGATCTACGCCTGCTGTTGAAGCAAAGCTACGAGCCGATTTACCAGAACCTGGAGCACTGTGCGTTTTTTAACAGCTGAGTTCCTCTTCTTGTTGTCGAGTCCGACCAGCGGCGTCTCTCTGTGCTGGATCAGACTTGCGGTCTTTAGATGTGCAGTGTGAGCAGTTAGATCGCATCGGAGCGTCGGTTCGCGCAGTGAGAGAACAAACATTGTGAGGTGGGAACTTTTAAACTCTGGATTTCTTTGTACAGTTTGAGCTGTAGCTGCGTGCAATGACTGAAAATATCGCACAATATATGCCCGGCTTTACACTCCACAGTTGCCTTGGTTACCGTGCTCGGACCGTTTTCAGCACGGCTTTAAAGGGCTAGTGTAAATGAAAAGTGTTAAAAAGAAAGAAGCTGAGAGAGAGGCAGATCAGAACATCTGTTATCAAAATGCTGATTCATAGCAGGTGGTGTGCTGATGCTAAACATGGCCGCCGGTACACGGGGCTCAGTGTTCGTCTGTTTTAAATCCTTGGACTAGGATCTCATTTGGTCTTCCAGCGCTGCTCTGAGTTTTTAGGATCCGAAGAATTATTGTGCAGGTCAGTCAAACATAGCTGCTTCATTCACGGGGAGTTTTATCTGGTAATTAAACATGTCCGCCTCATCTGGTGCAGCAGATGGCACGTGTGCATGCAGGGTTCGGTGCCGAGTTCTTATCTCAGGTCTGCAGAGGGACTGCACATGATGCAACTCTTTTCAAACACCTGTTTACTGAGGCCTGCTGCTCTCTGTGAGCAGTGGATCCATAACCGGGTCCTCCTCTGCCTACACTGCCGCCATTTTGAATCCATCAATGACAGCCATCTCCTTGTGACAGAGTGTGACTCAGCATTTTGTCTCCTGCCTGCCATGCTATAGGAATCTGATGTCATTGCTGTACAGCAGCAGGTTTCTCCCTCAGCTCTCTAATTGAAATGCTTTTCAGAGATCTTTGCGTTGTCCTGAAGTAAAGCCTGATGCAGTCTGTGTGTGACTCCTGTCTCCTGTGTTCTGCTCTGTAGGGCCTTGCCCAGCTGGAGATCCTGTGTAAGCAGCTGTATGAGACCACCGACACCGCCGTGCGACACCAGGCAGAGAAAGCTCTGGTGGAGTTCACCAACAGCCCCGACTGTCTCAGTAAATGTCAGCTGCTGCTGGAGAGAGGCAGCGTGAGTGTTCCTGAGATCTACGTCTGCAAGGGAACTTCTAATATCCTAGTTCTATGCTTGCCAGTAGGAAGCTTGTAGAAAAAAATAAATGTTTAATGACTGCTAACTTGGAGTTAGCGCACACACATTGGGATTGATTAATCCCAATGTGTGTAATAACCTTTTCTGGAAAGATAGGGCGTATCTTAGGTCAGCCACAAAGATCAGCTACTTTCACACATTTCTGCCCTAAATGTCTAAAATCACTTCCAGTTTTTAATCAACAGGTTTTTGCTCAGTTTTATTCTAATGAAGTTCTTCTACGGAAGAAAAACGCTCTCATTTGAATCTTCATTATACTTCAGTTTTGTTTTAATTCTTATATTTTTCTACCCTCTGCTTTAGAAGTAGGATCATTCTGACCTTTAGGGAAACAGAACCTCCGTAATTCTTTCCTGAACGGCTCCAATCACTAATCCACCAATGATATTTGTGTCTCTGCTCTCTTCCCAGTCCTCGTACTCCCAGCTGCTCGCCGCCACTTGTTTATCTAAACTGGTTTCTCGGACCAGCAACCCTCTACCCCTAGAGCAACGCATTGATATTCGTAAGTATCATTGTCCTGCGGTTACCTGGATGAGCAGCGGGGAATGCTGCTCAACTGAGTTTTTGATCCTTAAAAACTTTTAAAAAGTTTAATATAGTAAGAAAACACAGATTTTCCTTTTGCAAAGCTCTGCTTCTAATTTAACTTTCTACATTTGGTCATGATAGAGGGTCAAGTGGTCAGAGCAGGTTGTAAGGTTGCTGGTTTGAATTCCTGGATGGGACCCAACTCATTGAGGGTGATGGGTTGAATCCAGAAAATAAATAATTGAAATTTAATCATAAATTAGAGTTAAAAGCTATACTTAAAAATAATTTTAAGGTCAAAATTCTGAAGGACTATGGCTGGGCAATTAATTGCATTTGCAATTAATTGCATTTGCAAATCACAGAGGTACTCAGGTTTAGTCACGGTACATTTTAGATTTTAGATTCAACTTTGTCATTACACAGGTACAGGTAAAAAGCAATGCTGTTTAGGTCTAAATAGCAGCAAATGCAGGATATTCGATGCTATTACTATAAAATTAATATATAAAAGTTGGACAGAAGCTTTCAGAATTGAAGTGCAGCGAAGGTAATTGCATATTAGAGTTAAAGTACTGTATTGCGAATGTATATGTAAACAATTGGTACTGGAAATAAACAGACAGCAGTGCAAATCAATATTCCAGTCGAGGTAAGTTGTGTAAGATGAATTTAAACAGTTGTTACTATAGTAACAGTCAGCAGTGCAAGTGAACAGTATAGTAT